GCTCACAATCCCTTCTTGGTGAGCTCACTGAGCTTTATGGGCATCCCCAGACCGTGGGGGCAGGGCCAGTGCATACAGCTGTGTCGTGTCCTGCACAAAGGCACCGTCTGAGGGGAGGAATGAAAGATTGGAGGTAAAATCCAGGCAGGGCGTTGCTTGCCTTCTTTCCAAATGAGGAGTCTTTTCAATTTGCACAAAAACGCACATGGTCTAGGCCCAGGCCCTGCGTTTAGGGAAGAGGGAGGTTCTCCATCCCCAAATTGATAGTTTTTGGAATTTCCCATCTGTTTGCTGTTTGCCATATTCCTTTTCATTGTCAGGCGATGACATCACTGTCAATACTCACAGCTTCCAGAGCATTCACTGCGAATCCCCATCCTCCCCACTCCACCCCACCCCTCTCTTCTACACCTGCATCCATCTCATTTTCTGCTTCTAACGTGCCAGGATCTAGGGCAGCATTTCTCAAACCACCTTGACCTCTGCCCAAGGTAAACAAGCACACTGCATATCGCGCCCCACCCACATGTATATAAATAGCCTGAACCAAGTGTTCACCAAATCACAGCTACCTTTAATATTTACCATGGACTCTGATATGTTCTATTTCATTTTTTAAAAATATTTATCTTGTTCCCTAAGATGATTTCACTTCCCTGGTGATTCTTGACCCACATTTTGAAAATAAACAAAGTATGGTCCTCAAGCCAGCAGCAGCGGCATCACCCGGGAGTTTGCTCTCAGCCGCTCCAGGCCCACTGAGTCCGAATCTGCGTTGCAGCAAAGTCTCCGGGAGGCTCACGTGCACATTAAAATCCGAGAAGCCCTGGTCTAGGATCCCAGGAAGCCACAATTATCAGCGCTCTCCACTCAGTCAAGCGCCAGGAATTCTCTTACAAGTGAACGATGTGAGCTTGACACAGCATCTAAAGTCTGCTCCAGCTCCCCAGAGGCCAGAAAGTGTCACCCCTGTCCCTGTGACTCTGAATACAGGAGGTGGTGCCGTGTGTCTCTTCCCAAGGCTCATCCAAAACGAAGAGCTTTGAAAGGCACCAACTTCAAAACACAAGACGTCTCAATTCCTCAGCATCCCAAGTGGGAAGTTCGCAACCTCGTCTCAGGGAAACCAGCTCCAGGGAACAACAAAGAGACTCAGACCAAGAACTGAGAGTCCTGGGTTTGAGGCCCCGTCTGGCCATTAGTGCCACAGATGACTCTCTGGCCCTCGCCGAGTCTCAATTCGCTGTCACTGAATGAGGCGCTGGTGGTGACCGTGTCTAAACTGCCTCCTCTCAAAATGCCCCCAGGTTGCCCCTTGAGGGTTCATCCCCTCCCAGACACACTCCCCTGTGACCTCAGCAGGACCACACATCCTAGGGCCTTCCCTGACAGCTGTCCCCGCCCTGCAGCTGTGTCCCTTCACAGCTCCTGGCTCACCCCAGCCTTGGGCAGACCCTCGTGGCCACAGACCAGGGATGGGCAGTGAGATCCTCTTTCTGTCCCCACTTTCTTACGGGAAGCGTCGTTGTGAGTCTCGTGGACACCCTGCCGGAGCCTCACGGATCTCGCTGCTCCACCCCAGCCCATCTCCTGTCACTGCCACAACAAAATTGTCCTCAGGGTGGCCTTTCCACTGCTCTACAGCACATCTCTGTCAGGCAGATAAACAGAAAAGTGAGCTCTGCAGGCGACGGCTTGTGTGCTCCACGTAGCGCCAACCCGCAGAGCCAGGCAGAATTGGCCCTGTTTGTCCACTTCCTGCTGGGGCCGATCGGTCCTGACTATTAGAATGGAGGCTGGAGGAGAAGGAGGGAATGGGCAGGCGACTGGGAATAAATGCCAGAGAGACGCCCAGAGATGGAGATCCAGTTTCCAGGACTGTGGGAACAGGAGGTTGGTACCACCCCAGCCAACTGACAAGTCACACCCTCATTTGGCATCAGCGGTTTGCTTATTTGGGATGTTGCTGACAGGAAAATGAGTCATGTAGTGTACTTTGTCTTTTCAGACTGTTAGATATTTACTAAAGGCATTGTGTTGTCTGAATACTTCCAGAAGTTCCAATAAACATGAGTCATGGGATCTAAGGGGAGATGTAGAAGACGCTCTTGGGCCCCGCCCCTGGCTCTCACCGCTACACTCTGAAGGCCACCCAATGCCACACCTGACTCTGCCCTGCGGCTTCCTTCTGGCTGCAGGACCCCTCAGCCAGCGCAGAGGGTAACTTGGAAATGCTGGGGAGTCAACACCCCCAGAAACAGCCTCCTCCCATCACAGATGGGAAGTAAGTGGATAAAGCCCGACCTCCTTACCCCTGGCTTGGGGTGACTCAGCTGTGCTCTACACTGTCCCCAGAAAGCCCCACAGGACTTGAGCTCCAGTCGCCTACAGTGCTGACTGGCCCGAGAGAACACTTTTTGGATTTCCTTCTCTTCTCCGTCTTTCTTCCCCACCCCTCAGCAGTATTTCAGGGTCTGCTTCTGGGGAAACGTAACCCGAGGCAATAGGACTAGTACCTCGGGGGTTCTAACCTAGGATAAAATAGGCCACAGCGACCTGTACCCCAAGTTGTACAGCCGGGGAACAAGCTGCCCTAAGAGGGAGGGACTCCTGTCACTAGAAGTGTGTGGGAAGACCTGGTGACCATCTCCCAGGGGCCCACCAGAGGGGTCCTGCATTGGCTGGAGGTCCTCATGTCCTTGACGAAGATGTCTAGCGGTCCATTCACTCGTTCAACAAATATTTAGTGAGCTTCTGAGCTTGCGAAGTTTGGCCTTATGGAAATATGACTTCCCAGTGCTCCGCCGAGGAGAGTTGCAGATCCTGTGTTTGAACTTCGTTCTTAGGAAGTGTTTCTTAGAAGTTGTGTTAAAATTTCTATCCTTGTGCCTTTAGTTAATAGATAGGTGTGTATCTTAACATCATATTAAGTTGTTCTTTGTTTTATTTGTTTTATAACCGAGGTTCAGAGAAAACAAGAACTCCAGAAGTCTTTTCTCAAAGTATCTGAAAATGCAATCACGGCGGGTACATGATCTTAAACTTCGACAGTCTTACCAATTCTCACCCACTCCCTGTCCCAGATCTGACTCCACCCTCACCTTCTAGGCTTCCCTTCAACCTCAAACCACCCCTGCACGTCCCCAGCGAACACACATCTGGGTCCCCATGACAAACACATAAACAAAAGAAAATGCACTGTTCAAAAAATTAAAAGGCTTACAGATTTGTATTTTCCAAGGTGAAGACTAAACCTTCTAAACCCCCACTTCTCCTGTACCCTCTCACCCAGCAACCTTGAGCCAGCCCACGGAACGGAGGAAAGTGAAGGTTACGTGACCTTGGGCAAAACACAGTTTCCTGGGCCTTGATTTCCTTATTTGGAATACAAGAGAGTTAGTTGATGCAACGAGGGTCTCTACCCGCTGGACATTCTAGGACTTGGTGAGTGGGACAGATTGGAGCAACGGACCCAGTCCTCGTAGAGCTCTCCCGCCTTCTCCCCAAGTGGGGTTGTCACTTCCCTCTGCCACTGCCCTGTGGCACCAGGGCCTTTTCTATGCTCCTCACTCTCCAGAGCCTGCTACGGGGCGAGTCTGAAGTGTCAGTCCCAACTTCCCTCCTACTGTGGAAAGATGGGCGTGTTCCCCACTAAAAGGATGTCAGGCCATGGAGGGCAGAGGTATGTAGGCCTGTGAGCACCTTCTGCTCAACCCTCAGCTCAGTCCTGTCAGTGGCTCAATAAGCAGGTTGTGGCCAGGAAATCAGAAGGGAGTGAAATCAGTAAAGCAGGGTTCCAGCCACTGGGCCAGCTGGGAAGGAAGTGTCCTGGAGACTTCACAATCCAGCTCAGATGTGGCCACAGCTGCTCCAAGACTCCCACCCAGATCAGAGACCCCAGCCAGCCAAGCTGCCCATCTGCCGATTTCATGGCTCGGGAAGTGCATTTTTAATAATAAATCTCTTAGAAATTACCAGCAGGACCAAGGTCTGGCTTTAGCATCCATCAAGAGCCTGTGTGATCTTGAGTATGTCACTTAGCTTTTCTGCCTCTCAGCTTTGCCATTTGAAACACAGATCTACAGCCTGCTCCATGCTTGTAAGTTTCCTCAGGTAAGAGCCCTACTTAGGAAAAGGAAATGAAGAGATGGCCAGTATGTTCCCATGGTTATCTCTGGGTAGACTTGGCAATTCTATATATTTTTCTTATGCTTCTTTGTCATTTCCCAATTGCTGACAATAACCACATGCTAATTTTGTAACCATAAAAATTAAACATAATTATTTAAAAGAGGGTTCTACGTACAGACAACTACATACATAATAAACATACACTGTTTAGTCCCATCTGGTTTTCTCACTGGCAATGTCCCCAACTCTTTGTCTTTAGGCTGGAAGGGACCCGATGGTTCATTTGATCCCAACCCTCATCTTACCAGTGAGGAAACTGTCTGCCCCTCACACTTGGCCATGTCACCTGTGCACCTTCTCTGACTTCCTCACCAAGAAAAGTTAAAGAAAACCTGGCAAAGATACAGCAAACAGAGAGAAGGTAAGTCCTTAGATAAAAAGAGTCTGTACATCATGTTTATGTTTATAAAATTAGCTTTTCTATTTGTGACAACACAGATAAATCTGGAGGACATTATGCTAAGTGAAATAAGCCAGGCACCGAAGGACAAATACCACATGTTCTCACTTATAAGTGGAATCTAATACAACAGAACTCACAGAAGCAGAGAGTAGAATAGTGGCAATCAGAGACTGGGGGTGGGGACACTGGGAAATGTTGGTCAAAGAGTACAGAGTTGCAGTTAGGAGGAAGAAATGATATGCATTTAAGGTGATCACTATGTTAATCAGCTTGATGCAATCATTCCACATTGAATACATATATCGTAATATTACTTCGTACCCCATAAATATGTACAATTATAATGTATAATTTTCAATTAAAAATTAATTTTTAAAAATCAGCTTTTCTCCTCCTATCTATTTACGGAGTCTTCCTGGCAGCTTGCAGATTCCCCCCACCCAGCAGGTGCATTTGAGCTACACATCTGGCTTGGACCTGGCTTCCTCGGGGTGGCACGGCTGCCATGGGGCTTACAGGCGAACCAGCCAATGCTCCCTCCTAGGAGAAAAAACCAGGGCAGTCAAGGAAGAGCAACTTGGTGAAAACTCAGCCATCTTTAAATGTATTAAGAATTTTTTTTTGGAAGGGAAGGAGTGTTCATCTCTACCAAAAGACTGCATCAACTTCAAAGGTAGGAACCATGTATGTCTTCAACCTGGCACCATCAACATTTTGCACAGAGTGGATACTTGATAAATTTCATCCTTTTAATCCAAGCTTTCATGCATGTGCCTAACTCTACCAGAGTGATCTCCTGCCAAGACTTGACTTGAAAGATTGAAATCTGAAGGCCTAGGACTACTCACTGGAACCTTGATAAGAGAACCCAGGATAAAAAGGCCTTAAATCGAAACAAACAAATAAATACTATTTTCGAAAGAGAAAAAGAAAGTATAAATTCTGAGCCCTAAGGTCTTGGCAAGGGAAGTCTGTCTCTTTACAATTTTACAAGCAGCATAGACCCCAGAAGTCATCTGGTTCGTCCATCAGGGTTGCAGAATTCAAAAAGTGAAAAGATTTTGTAGAAACAGGAGGCTCCTTGGGTCTCATGCCCACCACAGGCGGCCATACCATGGAAAGGAAAAGTGAAACCTTTTCCAGCAAGAGTCGTTTTTTCATTCTAGTATCTTCAAGAGCTTACACTCATCTCTCTGGGTCTGAGGACAGAAATCTGCAGTGAAAGATCTTTGGAGCTGGAGCCAGCAAAGCAAACTCCAGAAGGCTTGGCTGCTGCAAAAGGGGATTCAACACCTTTTGGGGTAGTTCTCACTTCATTTCTGGCTGGCCCCTTCCTCCTGCCCCAACTGGTGCTGTTCCCCAGGTAACCAAGCCTCAGAGGTTGCCACCTGGTGGGGGAAGGGGGTTTTTCCTTGCTGCAGAAGGGACTCAAGGCCGAGGACTTGCAGGAGGCTCCCTGTCTACTTCTCTGTCCTCCTCCACGTAAGAGGAACGGGAGAGGAACGGGAAACTCCGGGGCTGTAACTGCCTGGGAAATGCCCAGCCAGGGAGCTGCTGAGGGTCATACCTCTGCCAGGAAGGGGTCTGATAACACGGTATGGACCTTGGAGAGAGGGGAGTGTAGAAAGGCCGTGGGGCTGGGACTGGGTTCCAGCTCTAGGGGCAGTTCTGAGGCTCCTAGGGAAAACCGCAAGTTGGGAGGGACTGCTAAGGGGGAGGGGGTCACAGCATGAGTGCGTTTGCCGGCTGTGAGGACCTGACTTGTGCAGGAACCTCCATGGACCTCACGTCTGGTTGACATAGAGGTGACAACCACGACGCCTTCCAAATTGTATGTGACATGGGGCGGGGGGAGGGTGGTGACAAGTGTCTGGAGGTAGAGGGGGAGGTTGGTGAGGGATGGATGGTGAGGTTTAGGAATGTGATGGAAAGTGAGATTCCAGCCAGGAAAAAAGTCCGATAAAAATGGATTTGGAAATTGAGGTCGCGGAGAAAGGATGGGGTGCAGGCGGTTCCGCGTGCGCGCTGCATGTTCAGCCTCCAGGCTCTTACCTGCATTACAGGTGGAGGTGAGGGAGCCAGCCGGCTCTCTGTCGTGAGCGCTCGCCTGGCTGTAGCTGCTGGGGCCCTAGGCTTGCGCTCCCCGAGACCTCCTCCCGCAAACCCCTAACTTGGCCCCGAGAACTGGCAGGTTGCGAGGGAGGAAATCTCTTTCGAGAAGCGCCAGGGCGTGTGCGCTCGGGTCCCCAGGCGAGCAGGCGCGCGATGCGCTAGGGTCATCGCTATCCTTCCCGGAAACGAAAACGAAAGAGCAGGATCCGGCTTCCACTCCTGCCCCAGCGGGCTAGCGGAGCGCAGGGGCTACGCCTGCGGGAGCGAAGCCGCCGAGCGCCGCCCACTCGCCCGCCCGGGAGGCGTGGGGCCTGCTGCCAACCTCCCGCAGGTGGACAGCCCCTAGGGCAGCCTCATCCTGGCTCCAGAGGGGACAGAGGTGGGATTCTACGGGATCTGAGAAGCCCAGGGAACCGCTGGTCCTGGGCTCAGGACCACGACAGGCCAACTTCAGGTCGCCCCTGTGCGTCTTCGCAGACGGATGGGAGGGGGCCGCCTAGGGGGTCTGCATGGACCAGGTGCCTGTCCCCTTAGGGAACCCCCACGACCCCGGTCGGTAACGCCACCATCGGAGACGCTGTGGTGCGCCTCCTGGCTGAGGTCCCAGTACTCAGAGGTCCCTATTGACACCTCTCCCAGGCCTCTGGCTGCTCCAGGGTGGTGCCCGCTCACCCGTCACTGTGTCCGCCTGCCTCAGCTCCCTATGCCTTGAGGGGAAGCCGAGAGAGGCTGTAAACCCAAAAGCAAACCAACACATGCCAAAGACAAGGAAAGAAAAAGGGTTAAAAACGTTCTGCTGAAAATCTGAGGGTGCAGATGCTGTTATAAAGAAGGGTTAGTGTTAGCATATCATAAGCTCAAGGCCAGCAGTAAGAAACCAGTAAGAACAAGAACGAGGCCAGCAACTCAACAGAAAAATGAGCAAAGGATATGAATAAACAGTTCACTTAAAACAAAATGCCAAACAGCCCCTGAACATAGAAAAAGACGCTCAGACTAATTCATTATTTAAAATCTGCAAATTAAAGTTTTTCTGAGGTATCATTTTTTTACCCATAAATTTGTCAAGAAATTAGAAGTTTAATAACATAATCTGCTGGAGAGGCTTAAGGCAACAGGCACTCCACTGGGAGTTCAAAGCGGTGCCATCTCATGGAAGGTATTATGGCAGGATCTAGCCAAGTTATTAATACAAGTGCATTTAGCCTTGACCTAGCAATCCTACTGTCAGGTATTTATTCAACAAATATCCAAAATATACATGGTTATTTATTTCATCATAGTTTATAACAGCAAATGATTAGAAATAACTCAGGTGTTCATAAAACGGGACTAATGAAATAAATTATGGTATATCCATTTTAACAGAATACTGTGCAGAATCTGATGACACTCTGTGGGCCATAGCAAGCTCTCCAAGAGGCAGTACAGCATAGCAGTTACGAATCTGGATTCAGGATAGCTGCCAGGGTCAGAATCCCAACCATGTCACTCACTCCCTGTGTGCCCTTGAGCAAGTAGTTAATCTCTCCACTGCCTCTCTAAATTAACTACTGCCTCAGTTTTGTTTTGTTTTTGTTTTGTGAGACAGAGTCTCTCACTCTGTTGCCCCGGCCAGTGCCATGGCGTCAGCCTACCTCACAGCAACCTCAAGCCATCCCCCTGCCTCAGCCTCCCAGGTAGCTGGGACTACAGGCATGTGCCACCATGCCCAGCTAATTTTTTCTTTTTAGTAGAGACAGGGCCTTGCTCGTGCTCAGGCTGGTCTCAAACTCCTGACCTCAAGCCATACTCCTGCCTTGGCCTCCCAGAGTGCTAGGATTACAGGCGTGAGCCACCATGCCCAGCCCCTGCCTCAGTTTTCTTAATGCTAAAATAAAGCTAATAATAACACCTATCTCCTAAGTGCTATAAAGAGTAAGTGAGTTAACATTTGTAAAGCACCTAGAATAGTGCCTGATCACCATGCTAACCAAAAAAAAATCAAGGTACAGAGCGATTACATAATATATATATATATATATATGTGTGTGTGTGTGTGTGTGTGTGTTTATTATTTACACAAAGAAACTCTGGAAGGATACATAATAAACTATAAACATAACTGGAATTCAGAGTAGAAAATAAGAGAGGGTTTTCACTATAAACGTTTCTATATTTTTTTTTTTTTTTGAGAGAGTCACACTCTGTCACCCCAGCTAGAGTGCAGTGGCATCATCATAGCTCACTGCAACCTCTCCTGGGCTCCAGTGATCCTTCTGCTTCAGCTTCCCAAGTAGCTGGGACTACAGGCCTGCGCTAACTCGCTTGGCTAATTTTTCTATTTTTGGTAGATGGGACCTTGCCATGTTGCTCAGGCTGGTCTTGAACTCCTGACCTCAAGCCATCCTCCCACCTTGGCCTCCCAGAGTGCTAGGATTACAGGTGTGAGCCACCATGCCTGGCCTGTTTTGATTTTTGAACCATATAAGTAAATACCTATTCAAAAGAATAAAAAATAAATAGAATGGAAGCATTAGGGTCTATTCCATGTCAGCCAGCCCAGCCATAAGCTCAGTGATGACAGAAACAAATGGGCAATGCCTGAGAAAGACTTAAAAGATGGGGACATTTTTCATCAGAAAGACAAAGGCAATGCTAGGTACAACCAAAGTTTACAAACCAATATGAACAGGAATAAGTGGAATCCCTCCTTCACAAAAGAAATATGCACAGGTGTTTCATGCTTAATAACGTAACAATATTTATTTCATTTTCAAAATTATTATTTTTTAAATAACACTTTTCCTATGAAGTTGAGATGCATTCAATGAACTTTTAATTAATAACAACAAACTTTTTTAATACTTGTAATTCTTTCAAAAGGAGGGAGAGAGGGAATTTGAGGTAGACAAAAAGGTAACAGTAGAAGAATAAAGGTGAAAGAACTGCATAAGAGAGGGCAGGAGACAATGAGCAAAATAAAAACCGACGAAGGGCCCACCAACCAATAATAGCAAAACCATCCAGCAATAAGAAATAGTTACAAGTTTTTGTCTTGTGATGAATTCCTAACTCATTCAGGCCTTGCACTCCTCTAGAAGGCAGGACTGTTGGCCAAGGACTAAGCACTCCCTATATTAAGCAGGCAAGCCTAAAGGAGGACAGCAGAGCAGTAAAACACGCCTGCTGGCAGGGTACGATAATAATAATAAAAAAAAATCCAAGTGGTTGAAGAAGATTGAAGGGGGTCACAGAGTAGTGAGAGGATAAAAAAATGAGAAAAGAACTTAAACGTAGAATCAGAGCCTGAGAAGTGTTTGGAGACACCAACAGTGGTGGTGGTGGTAGTGGGGCCTCCAGGCACGGAACTGGAAATGCAGATGGACCACAGGTTGGATTTGAGTTTGAGAGACAGAAGGTTTCCTTCTATTTTCCAGAGAGGGTAGGAGTTGGGATCGGGGTGCTGGAGGTGGGGAAGTATGGCTGAGAAGGAGAAGCTGGCATTGCAGATCTGGACATGGGTAACAAGAGTGCGGCCAACAGGTCACTAGAGAGCATGGTACCCAGGAAGAAGCCCACGAGAAAGTACCCATTTCTGTGACTTCTGCTTTGAGGACGAGGTTCTATTAATATTTTATTCATGGAAAGAAATGCTCAAAATTCCTTTATGAGGAGCACTGAGACCATCCACAGTACTGGTGTTTTCTGGGTGGCAAGGCCCCCCGGGTTCCTAATTACTCCTTGGGCTTCACCATGAGGCAATCGCAGACATCTAGCTCGTTGCTCTGAACAGACAAATGATTCTCCAATAAAACAGGCATAGACCAACAGTGATGGGTGAAAATAGAGGAAGATGGAGAAGGTTGTCTTCCCATCTGTCCCAGTGGGATTCATGCTTCTTACAGGATAGAAGGAAAACAGAATTTGACATTTACATTCCTTTTACAGCAAATGGTTATTCAAAAAAACGTGCAGGAACACCTGAACTCTTCTAAAGAAAAAGATGACAAAACGAGCCCGTGGATCTCTGCCATCCTGCTGAAGGTCCTGTTTAAAAAGAAAGAGAGAGAGAGAGGTTAAAAAAAAAAAAAAAAGAAAGCGAAAGAATAATCCAAAGTTAGAAATTTAACATTGGAGTTGAATGTGATGATCAGAAATTTAAATAAAAAGAAATTTAACACAAAATAAAATATTAATCAATCAATCCTGCAGATAATCTTCTTGGGTTGTTTTATCAATTGTATGAGTTGAAGGAGAGTCCCTAGGTTTGCTCCATATGTCCATATCCTCCACATCACCTTGAAAGCTTTCCACTGGACGTGTTTTTCCACCTTGACCATCAGCAAGTGGGGCCCTCTTTTCAGGGCTGAGAACCTGTCCCTCTGGCTTCCTCAAACACTTTCCTAGGCCTCTCAAAGAAGCGAGAGAGTTTGCTTTGGGGCTAGAAGAATGGATAGGACTTAGATGGGCCAAGAGGTGAGGCTGAATATTAGGAAAACTGGAGGTTACAAATTGCTCACCAGGTTTGTGGAGCAGTAAATAAATGCCACAGTTTATGTGAACTTCGGGAAAAGGAGACACAAATGATCTCCCTGCCCCTGCCCGCTGCAGTCTGTTCTCTACACAGCCACCTCAGAGGACTGTTGAAATGTGCTCAACACTCTCTAATGGCACCACCTTACTCAGAGGAGAAGTCTTTTTGGCGGCCTCAGGAGGCCACATAATCTGCCCACCTCCTGTATCACCATCTGATCATATCTTTTACCACTTTCTCCCTCACTCAGCTTCAGCCACACTGGCCTCCTTGCTGTTCTTCAAACATCCAGACAAATCCCTGCCTCAGGGTCTTTGCTATCCTCCTGCCTCCCATCCTCTGCTCCTGCCTGCCCCCACATCCCCTGCTCACCATCTCTTTTAAGGTTTTGCTCAGAAGTCACCTTCTCAGTGAGGCCCTCCCTAGACATCTCTACTGCAAACTGCAACACCCCCAACGTTCCTCCTCTGTTCCCTTGCTTTATTTTTCTCCAAAACATTTATCACTATCTGATAAACCACATACCTTATTTGTTTGTTTATTGTTTGTCTTCCTCATATACTCCTTGAGATCAGGGATTTTGTGTCTTTTGATCACTGCCATATCTCCAGTACTTGAAAACAGAGCCTGACATATAGCAGGTGCTCAATAAATATTAGTTGAATAAATGAATGAATGAATGATAAACCATTAACAGCAGGCTATGGGATTTAGACTTTGTCCTGTCAGTAACTGGTAATCATTATTTTTTCCCCTTTTATAGTTGATATTGGTTAGGAAAACTGAATGAATTTCCTCTTAGCATGGCAGACAAGAAAAAGTATAGAACACTGAGTCAGATGCTCATATATTTAAATTCCAGTTCTGCCACTTAGAAGCTGAGTAACCTGAGACAGGGTATGTAATCTCTTTGAAACTCAACTGCTTCTCCTGAAATACTTATGATAGTGATTTATAGGAGTACTCGGAGAATTCAATATTAAATAAAGCATGTAAAAGTGTCCCAAAGAGTACCTGGAAGAAATTGTTTAATAAATGTTAGTTTCCCTCACCTCTTTCTAACAAAGAGATTCCCTATGTATCACTGTATCAGTCTGAGTACCAGAGGAGACAGATAGCACACCCAAATTAGGCTAATTCGAAGTGGGTTAAATAAAGAAAACTATCTAGACTATCCACAAAGAGAAGATAGTGGGAAACCACAGGGGATGGTGCGACACCCCTGCATGGTAACAACAGTATGTCGCCACTCCTAGGGCCTGCAGAGACAGAG